CATGGGATGGAAAACTATAAGTTACCATGTGAATTTCTAGCCAAGTATGCAAACTAATAAATTACCCAAATTCATACTTCTAACGGAAAAACCATATTTATATATATAATGAAATAATTTAGATAATTTCATTTGCAGAACAAACAAAAAGTTAAATTTTGATTACACTTTTTATTATTTTGAGTAATCAAACAAAAAACTAAATTTTACTTCTCATGCATTTAATAGATAATCAATTATCAAACAGATAAAATTGACCGAAATAATAAAATAAATAAAATTGACTCATATCAACCACAGCGATTCTTTTGGTTAAATATTGATTGTTCACCAAGTAATATAATATTAGTTTGTTGTATAACCACGAGGCTGTGTGCGTTTGTGAAACACAAAAGGGTAGAAACTTTCATTACCCGAAAAACCTACTTACAAAGTTCTTTTACTCCATTCACTTACTTGTACACTTGATCAACAGTTCACAAAAAAAAAAAACTAAAGAAAATGGTTCTTTGACATCAATACAAGTGAAGGGGTTGCTAAAAAAAAAAACACAGAAGGCAGAGAGAAGCAAGGCACTGTGTGGCCACAAACATCAATCCTTGCAATCTGTTACACCTTCTGTAGATATTTGAAATCGAGCTTCCGCTTCTGGCAAGCATGGCGAGCTTATCACTTTACAGATTCTCTCCTCTGCTCTTCCTTTCCTCAACGCCAGCCTGTATCATAACAAACACATTTTGCCAATGAACCCTCAAAAAAAAAAAAAAAGAAACAAGGATCATCGAATTTGCAAACATTACAGACCTTGTTGTGGTGGCATGAGCCATGATATTCCCACCAATCGGCTTAAATTGGGGACCAGCAAAAAGAGCTGAACCATCTACTTGCGCAACTACTTGGTTTGTTATAACAACAGCCACACCAAACTAGAGCCATTAAACATAAGAGAGAATACTTCAGGATGGTGTCTCAGAGCAATTTTGGAAAGGAAACGGTTAGTACTGATGTTCACCTCATCTGCTAACTTCTGAAGGCTTCTCAAGAACTTTGCAAGATGCATTTGTCGAGCTGAAAGCTCTCCTCTTCCAGAGAAATCTGTCCTGTAGAGAGCGGTAGCACTATCGACAATCATGAGAGCAAACCTGTGCCAATAGAGTCATAGTAACTTTCAAAGTTAGCACTCTCATGATAGACATAATGGAACTGATAACCAAAATAAACTCAACACACCTTGTTTCAATCATCATTGATGCTGCTTCAAGCAAAAGCCTTGACTGATGATCAGTATTATACGCCCTCGCATAGGCGACGTTTTCAAGTACATCAGCTCCATTTAGTCCAAACCTGCATCATTTTACTTGATTATTTGCGGATTATTCAGTCTCAAGAACCTCATTGTGATCTCACTGGCGTTACAAAGATAACATACCTGTCAGCTATCTGTAAGAGTCTTTGTGGCCTAAATGTTCCCTCGGCATCAATGTACATCGCCTTTCCCTCTCCGCCTCCTTGATCCATGGGAAGCTAATCATTTAAACGTGAACCTTATTGTGAATATCTATTTCAATTTTGCATAATGTAAGAAGAAATTCAAGATCACTGAGTCCTGCTATAAAAGCAACAATAGCTGAGTGGTAAATTCAGAAAAGGTGTTCTTACCTGACAAGTTACACACAGTGTATGGCACAACTGAGTCTTTCCAGAGCGGAACTCACCATATAACTCAGTGATGGATCCAGTTTCAATACCTCCTGTTGAGAATACGGCAAAGTAAGATCACAATAGCAAAATGCCGTTTTAAGATGCACCAGAAACCAGCACCAACCTTCTAGAACTTTATCGAGCTCCCGTGATCCAGAGGTAATCTGAATAATCTCTTGTCTCTGGGCATGGAGCTGGCTAGCACTAGTGAAACCCAGAGGAACTAGCTTTGAAGCTGTCACAGAAGAAAACACAAATAAGAAACACACAACTCTAAAAGTATCAAAGAGGTGTTATGTATTTAACAGAGAAGGAAAGCAAATTCTTTACCTGCTTCTACAATTTTGTCAACCTTGGCATCACTGATTCCCTTAATCTGCAACAGATCCTTCCTTGGAGTATAAGCAACACCTTCAACAGTACAGAGACCAGCATCCCTAAGCTTCTTTACATCAACAGAAGCAATACCTGCGGCCTGAAGTTTTGAAGGATTAAAGAGATGAAATAGCATATAACCCAAAGACTCTAACCAGAAGAACAAAACACGCTGATTCATCTCCCTTTTATGGACACAAATCAAAAGAATTGAGAAGACCCATAGATTATATGACATTGGAGTCGCAACAAGAGAGAAATTGCCCAGAATGGCACGAATTAAACATATAATAGACAAAGTCTAAAAACCCCAAAAAGGGTCAATTTTTATCGTAACCCTAAAACATTTCTGCTCTACGGACCATAGCGAAACCCAATTCTCGCTCAGATTCACACCTTTTTCACATCGCGATGACAAACACAGTGTAGAAAAAAAGCATAAATTTTTAGTGAATTAAAGCCGAAACCATTTCAATTAACGCAAGATCTGGTGAATTTTAAGCACCGCGAAGGTAATTTCCACTACAAATGAAAGAAATCTGAAGAAATTGAACCTGAAGCTGTTCGACGGGGAAAGGTCCGTGCTGGATCTCTTCATCATCTTGTTGTTGGACAGCATTCTGGTTTCTCCGCTGCTCCATTGTCGTCATCGCTCTCAATCAGAACAAATCCGGGTCACCAGAGTAAGCGAGAGGACAAAAAGAGAGCTTGCGAGTGGAGGGAAATGGCGAAACTGAAAACGAATTGAAAGAAGCGCCACAACCAAAATTATACAAGACGATGAGGGCAAAGGCTTCTTCAACAAGTCTCGATTGCGTTTGGGTCATCTTGGGCTCTTAAAGCCCAAACTAATGTGGCCCATCACCTAATCAGTTAGATATTAGATCAATTTTTATTTTCTAAAATACAAAAAACAACAACAAAATCCTCCTCATTTGTATAATTAATTAAGTACCATATTAATTTTAAATTTTATATAACATGTATGACATGATATAATTATCGACTCTCAAATAAATTTTATTTTTGTTATTTTTAGTTAAAATAAATACACTAAATTAACGTTTTGAAATTTGAATAACAATATTTACCGTCAAAATCTAGGCGTTTGCTGGAGGAGAACCACCACAATTTCCACTATTGCACGATTCCAATAATGTAGCAATCACTTATTTTAGCAAAAAAAAAAAAGAAATATATTAAACCAAAAGACTGAAAAAATAATTTCATTTTCATATTAGAAAATAGTAAAAATACAATAATTTTTTTTCCATACTTTCTTCTTCATGTAAGAATAAATTTATAGTTGGAAGCCTGGAATTTGAAATGGAAAATAAGTTGACAACTAAAAGCTAAATGCTAATTAATTATCTAATGTAAGCTTTTATATAAAAGAAATGGATAAAAGATAGGGCCCAACCGGGTTCGAACCGGTGACCTATTGATCTGCAGTCAATTGCTCTACCACTGAGCTATGGACCCATATTGCTTTTATAAGTTCAATGTTTTAAATTATTTGTTTCATTAATTGTTGTAAATCCTAATATAGTCAAGTCCATTATTTACTTATTTTAGTAACCCTATAAATTTTTACAAAAAAATTAAACCATGATTAATATTCATTTTCAGTTGCTAAAATATTATTAATACGAAAAATTTGTCAACTTATTCTTATTAAAGATGAAAAATTGCGAGATGAAATATAAGATTAGTCGACTAGTAGACGCTTAATGCTAAGAGAATATTTAACTAAATCTGTTATAAAAAAAATTATTGGTAAACTGAAAAAAAACATAGGGCCCAACCGGGTTCGAACCGGTGACCTATTGATCTGCAGTCAATTGCTCAACCACTGAGCTATGGACCCATATTGCTTTTATAATTACAAATTTTTAAATTAATTACTCCATTTTATTAATTTTTGTAAATCCTAACATAGTCAAGTCAAATTCTCTATATATATTAAAAGAGAGTATTTGATGCTTATTTGTCAAGCTCATAATTATTCTCATCTTTTTTCATTTTTTTTCCTTGTAAACCTATTTTCATTTTTTAATTATAATATCCTTCTAACAAAACACTTTTATTTTGATTATTTTAATACTAAATTCCAAACACATAAGAATCCTAAATTTACCAAAAATAATTACTTCAAAAAATACCTTTGTAAAATTAAATTTTCCTATAGAACAGATGTAATAGATAAAAATCCATAAAAAGAATTTTAATAATCTTCTACTAATTTAACATAAGATGAACCCTACCAAAAAAAAAAATTTAACATAAGATGAAACAATATTGTTAATTTATCAACAATCCAAATTTACAAAATTTTAAATTTTTATGATAAAACCAAACACAATTATTTTATAATTTTTTGAACGTATTAAAAATTCATAATAATTCAATCAAATATTATATATATATATTATATTAATCTATAAAATATATTAATAAAGTTAAATACCATAAATTTCAGATGTGCATGAAATTTAAAGAAATCATTTTCATTTGCTAACATATTATAAATACAAAGATTTGTCAACTATGAAAAATTGCTAGCTAGAATCTTGGAATATAAGATTAGTTGATAAATGCTAGTGGAATATATAACTTAAAACTCTTATGAAAAAACCTATTGGTAAATTGTCAAAAGAATGGAAAATAAAAAAAGTAGAGCCTAACCGGGTTCAAATCAGTGACCTATGGATATGCAGACCATTGAGGCATTGAGGCATTGAGGCATTGAGGCATTGAGGCATTGAGGCATTGATTATAGGGCGTTTCTTAGCCCAATCTTAGCCAAAATAATGAATTAAATTAAATGGAAAAGGGTGATTTATACTAGCAAACGTTCCTTATAGTTAAGGAACAAAATTAAAGTTAAGAGACGTCTACGTGGCGTAAAAAATGAGACCGTGTTTTTGTTTTCCTTCTCTTTCTCTCTCTTTCTCTTTCTCATTTCGCAAAAACAAAGAAATGGCGATGATTTCTGGAAATCAACTCACATCGGAGATTCCTCCACTCCGGCCGTCGTTCTTCCGTTAGCCCATCATCTCTATCGTCTCCGGTTGTCGACGGCGTCTTCGGTTGTTGTATTCGGCGAGGTGGGGTTGCGAAATTGGCGATATGAAGACGAAGAAGATTATTCGTCGCCGGTGCAATCATTTCTGCGGCCACCGCCGTCAGCGAATTTCGAAAAAGATCGACACTTGATGTATTTGGAGATGATGTACGAGTTACTTCCGTACCATTACCAATCTCAGGAGATCAATCGTCTTACCCTCGCTCACATCATTATCTCGGGTCTTCACTTTCTCGGCGCAATAGATCGTGTACGTCTCTCTCTCTCTCTCTAATCTCTATCTCTGTTTTTTCCCCTGAATTTTGATTTAGTAATGTTCAATTTCTGAAGGTTGACAAAGATGTTGTTGCAAAGTGTGTTTTGTCCTTCCAGGCCCTTCCTAGTAACAGAGTTTCACTTAATGATGATATCTTTCTTGAATTTAGCTAGAAGCATGTTTATGAGTAAGTTCTTAATAAGCCATTGTTCAATGAATGAGATGTTCTTTTTTTTTCTGCAGGAGAATTCTATGGTTTCTTTGGTTCAAGGAGTTCTCATTTTCTCATTGATGAGAATGGGGTAATTATAAGTTTATTCCTTATGTTTTCTATATTACAAGATTTTATCTTTGTTTTGAATCTGTGTGGGCTTGACATTTAGTTTGTTGCACATGATTCAATTTACAACGGTAGTCACTTGGCAAGCACTTACTATGCCTTGGCCATACTTTTGTTTGTTTTGCTACAGCTTCATGCCTATACATATTGGAGGTGAAACGGATCTTCGGTTTTTATTCCATTGTTATTTGTCAATTTCTGTGTTAAGAAGACATTCTTGTGAAACATTCTTTGTGGAGTCATATGATGGTGGTTTTGGTTTGATCTTTGGTTCTGAGTCTCATGGTAGGTGTTGCTGCACTTGGGTTAGGCAAAGCTGGAGGAGAAACAGTTGCAGAGATGGTTATGACTGGCTAGTTTCTTCTTGTCTTTTTCTTGATTGTTGGCATTGTTTACTTGTAGGGTGCTTCAGTGCTTACTATGGATCAAAAGCTGAAGGTTTTGGTTTGATCAATGATTCGTCGTCTCTTGCATTATACTTTCTTGACAAGTTTCAGGTAAACTTCGTCTACAAAATGTTCTTCTTTACCCTCAAGAAACACAAAACAGCTCTTGAACTTAGACTTAAGAAAGATTTGGACTGTTTTTTTTTTTTTTACAAGTTCATATGTTTGGCTCTGTTTGTTTAAATGGTTGCAATGGTTCCTGGTGATGCTTTTGGAGATGATAGTTGTATCCGAATATCTTATGCCACATCTCTCGACGTTCTACAAGCCGCAGTTGAGAAGATCAGGAAAGCCCTTGAGCCACTTCGTGCCACTGTCTCCGTGTAATGGTTCGGACACAGAAATGTGTTTTTGAATGTTTATGATATGTTGTAACTTATATATCAGCTTTGTCTCCATTCCAATAAAAAGCTCTCTCTTTATAGTTTGTTCTTTCCTTCAAGTTCATGTAACCAACCAACCATAACCATTCTCTTCATCGTAAATCATTTAATAGAATTTAAGGTTACTTCATGCTTGAGTTATAAGATCACGACAAAAGAAACATTTTCCCTATTTTTGCCCTCTCATTTTCTCTAAAATCACTAGCTTTTTACCTACAAAATTAAAACTTAAAACATAATTCTTTATAATACATTTGACGATTATTAAAAATCATCACACCGGATTCTGACTTTCACCATGATCACATTTGTTTTCTTGAAACAAATTTGTACCATTAAAGATACATAAAATCTTTAAGTTTAAAACATTTATGTTATAAATTGTATCTTATGTATGTTTTAATTTTTTTAATTTGCAACAATTATTAAATTTTCTATAATTATAAATTTTATTTTTATATTAATATTTTTTTTTTCTAAGAACCACATGTTAAGAGCTTACCATTAATCACACAAAAATATTAACTCAAAAATATTATCTCTTAACAACCACTTTTACAAATAAATTACTTAAATATTGCTAAGAAATATTTTTAAGAGACTACCTATAATCATGCTCTGAGGCATGAACATGTTCGCTTTTATAGAATCTTGATATAAAATCTTTTCTTTGTTTGACCAAAAGAAAAAGGAAAAAAAAAGTCTTACATTTAATTTCATATATAGTCATGACCATATCACACTGAATTTACATTCGATTCTAATCTCTGTATTGTATCTTAATCTTAATCTTATACTTAAAACCATTAGTGACGTCTTCTCCTTTTCTTTTCTTTACTTTTTTTCACTAAATCCCAGAAGTGAAACTAATTCCCGTAGAGGGCAACCAAGAAACTCCATTAAGAAATTTACCAACGCTAAAATAACTTGCGTCTTCAAACCCAATCAAGTGAAACCCTTCCCACGTCACTCTCTTGGAAACCCTAGCTTTAGGACCATAATTCTTAAACTCTCCAAAGTACAATGTCTTTAGTACTTCGTCTCCGGAGTCTAACCACCCGGCCCATCCTTCTTCCGCTATCGCGTCGTCAATATACGATTCCATCACTATAGACCTCGAATACTTTCTCCAGGGCCGTCCTAAGTAAGAGCTATACATATGTTTCACCGGCGAAAGATCTGAATCCGTCCGGATCCTACAACTATGAAGTGCAAATCCGGTATTCTGAAGTTGGTCCGTCCTCCCGTTAGCGAGAATAACATTATAGGCCTTGACACCATGAGGGCGACGCAAGAATATGTTGCAGCTTTGAAAAACCGCAGCTGCGTTTCCAAATATGAAATCTATTGTTCCATATATATCACATTCTCTATAGAACTGACGCAAGGCAGCTGCGTAAAGTGTGTCTTGATAACCAGAGATGCTACATCGGTATAACACTGATTGGTCTGATGTGATACTTAATGCTATGGCTTGATGTCCTCCAGGTCCTGCAGTGTTCTTGATTCCGATATCTCGTGCGATGAATCCGTCACCCGTAACCGCTGCAAGAATTGCATACTAATTATCAAACAATCAATTTTTGTTATAAACCCAACATTTTACGTATATGAATGAATGAGTGTATGTACTGACTCATTGTAGCGGTGTCCGGGACAGAAGTTCCTCCGGTGGCACTATCATCGCCAACAATCACCGTCTCGTCTTTGCCTTCTCCGATCAAAGTAATCTCATGTTTATGGATTCTTACTTTCTCTTTGTAAACCCCTCTTTTCACGTAAATTATGAACCTGCCATTTGCGTGGGCAGCCGTGACAGCCTCCATCACGGTCCGGTAATCTCCGGATCCGTCTTTGGCGACTACCACGTGTGCTCTTGCTCTACCTGCCAGAAGTCTCCTTTCTCCGGCAGTGACCCATCGGGGAAGACCAGTTGACTTTGTCTTTGGCTTTGGATTCTGCATGATTGTGTCGACAAGGGCCAAGGAGTTGCTGACGAGCCGAGAGAGGTGATCCATCTTTTGTTTTATGTGGCTGATGGCAGCGGAGGGGGAGGTTTCACGGTAGTCAAGGATGGAGTCTTTGCAAGCTTGTTGGAAAGTAATGGCGGCGGAGAGCCATGTTTGGACGTCGTGTTTGGTGTGACGCTTTCTCGATGAGCCATTGAGAGCTTCCATGGCTTGCCTAAGTCGTCTTGTGGACATTTTCATGAGCCGTTCACAAGAATCTGTAACGTTATTGATGCCAATTAGCTTCTTTTCTTTTCACGTATGGTTTTAGTTAAAAACAAATTAGTAGTTGTGGATATTATAATGTACCGAGAATTTGTACTTAGCTTGTGTGTTTTGTCAAAATTCTTAGGTATCTTGGTACATAAAAGAGAAATACTTCAACTACTTTATGAGTGCTTTTTTATTCTAGTAACCAAGTAGATAATATTTTCGGGCATACAGAAATTTTTATACGTACCATATCTAAAATGTTTTTGAGTGAAAGTAGTAACTAAAATGAAAGGCAGAGATAAAAATGGTAAAGCAATATAAACAAATGTTACAAGAGAGAAAATTTATCAAAATATATAGATGATGAGAATTATGTTGTGTACCTGAGACCGAAGGTGAAGGCAAAGTATAAGTGGAATCTTCCAGAGAAACTAGTTCGGAGGAACCCATCGAAGAGGAGAGAGGAGGAATTAGCAGATTGGAGTCAGAGATAGTCTTGTTAACAAGAACTGACACAAAGTCGAGACCGTCAAGAGATCCATGTCGAAACTCTCGTAAGTTTTGGACACAAAGTGAAGTGTACTTTGTGGAGCTACAATGCCTTTGAAGTTCATTTTGGTAAGCAAATGGCAAATTTCTTGAAGAGGCATTAACAATGAGAAGGGCATTGACCAATAACACCCAAAAAAAAACCATATCTATAATACCCATTTCTTTAAAACAAAAAGTTGGTTATCCTCTGTTTATATTCTTGGTTACTTTATGTGGGAAAGTTGATAATATCCAAACTAGAGATTATCATTGATTTATAGAGAGGAGGGGATGAAGAAGTTACTTTGAGCTGATGAGGTGAGTGTTTGGTGAGTTGGTTTAGCGGTCTACCATTTTTTTCATAGAGTAGATTGAGACTTGAGTGGCTTCGATGGGATCATTAACACTCACTTTTTTTTTTTTTTTTCTCCTTTTTATTTGGGATCAATCATATTTATTTGTTGGACAACTTGATCCGAACTATATATACTGTATCTCAAATACTCGCTCGATCATACCCAACATTTTAGTTATCAAAATCCAATCACTTAAACTATATATCCACTAATGCCAAAACAGAACATTTAATACGGTAACATAACTCTATTAGTTAACTTGGACAACATATTAAAGCCTTAGCTACTTTCTGTGTGGGTAAACAAACCAGGTGGAGACAAAAAAAAACAATCAGTTCTAATTGGTAAGAAGATAATGTAACATTAGTTTACTACAACAACTCTGCAAAAATAAGTCAAATTATTTTATCATACGGCAGAGTGACATAACAACTGCTAATACGATGGACCACCACACTATAGTTCCTTATCTGAAATTTGGTATAGTTCTCTTGTCTTTTGGTTGCCCAACTATTTTTAAAAGCTTCTACACTTGATAAGGTTTGCCACAAAAGTCTCAAACCCTTTGACGTTCAAAGACATGGCAGATTATGGACTCTAATCACCTACACGTTGTTACCCGTTTTCATTTCATCTATTACGAATCAGATCATCATTACTAACCTATCATAATTTACATAGCAAGTGAAAAAAGGAAAACAAGTTCTAAGAAAGAATAATTATATGTCCAGTTATCCAACTATGGACCGTTGTATTTACATTTCTATGAAAGAAAGAAAAAACATCCCCAAGGATCAATTAGAGAACACCAAACCGATTACCATCGCCACCGCTGCCGCCAACCTACAATTTGCTTCGGATGCACCGGAATTCCTCGGTGGCGGCTTCAACATCTGCTGCCTGCTCGTGTCGATTTCGATAGGAAACCTACACGAGCCACTCGACGGATCAATCTTAGTAAGAACCCCAAGATTGTTAAAATCGCATGAGCCACGACGATGATCCATTTTTTGAAAATACATGTTGAAGGCGTAAGAAGCGTTCGCGGTCGGGTCTAAGGCAGCGCAAGAGGAACCCGGCCCGAGCGAGGTACAGTCGGCGTTTTGACACGCGTACGTAGCAGGCGCCTGCCACGCACCGTTCCCCGCAGCTTGAGTGGAGAGCACGCACCACTCACGTGCCAAGTAACGAACACCTTTAGCCGGAACCAACGGACGGCCGTTACCGAGACTCAGAGGATACTTAACGGTGCCGTCATAAGAGAATATTCCCCAATGTCGTTCGAATTTTCCGGGATCAATGCTCTTGGCATCTTCGTCTACTAATGAGAATAAGAAAACTTCCGGCGCCGTTCTCCGACGAGGCGTTCCTTGTCCTTGAAGGATACGATTCAATAATCCTTGATTGAATCTCTGAGCCATCGCCGGATTCGCATTTTGATCGCCGTCGGTTGGCCACCCGACTTCTCCGACGATGATTTCAATTTTGTTCGGATCAAATCCGTTTTTCTCAAGCGCCGAGACTAAAGTGTCGAAATTTGCGTCGAAAACGTTCGTGTAAGAGATTGATCCGTCGACGACGGGCTTAGCTCCGCCGCCGCCTCCTCCTTTAGGGAAGAAAGCGTATTCGCGCGGGAAATTTGGATCGGCGTTAAGAGAGAGGAAAGGGTAGATGTTGAAGGTAATGGGTGAGACAGAATTAGCAAGGAATCTAACGATGGAGACCATTAAGGTTTTGATGTCTGATCGGAAGTCGCCAGAAGAAGGAAGACCATCGCCGGATTCATAGACGTCGGCATTAAGAGGAACAGTCACTTTGACTTGCCGGCCAAGACCAGCTTTCACCAGAGCTGCTTGAACGTTCTGCAGCGCCGGATATGTTGCACGGACGAATCTGTCTTTGTAAGTCTTCAAGAACGGCTCATTCCCCACAGCTACATATCTGATCACCGATTAAAAATCCAATCTTTAGAAACTTCAAGCATGTTTTTAGCTTAAAATTCCAAGCTTTTGAAGCATGGTTTTATTTTTAGGGTTTAACTTTAAAATCCAAGCTTTAGAAACTTAAGCATGTGTTTTTAAGATATTGGCCAATTGAAGTGCAGTGAAATTTACCTTATGTCAGTTCCATATCTAGAGATATACTGAGAGACGTTTTGTTGAACCCAGAGCTCTGCGTTGGTAACAGTGGAAGCCATAGTTTCCAAGAGATTGTTGGGAATACCGACCATGACTTGAATACCGGATTTACCAAGAGCTCTGAGTGCACCAGGGTCAGCTTCAAATAGCTTAACTTTGTTGAACCCATTGTCCCTAAGGAGTTTCACCACTATGTTTGGTGGTAGTGGATGGCTGGCTTGTGTACCCCAGTTACATGCCAAGCCCTCCACATTCTTCGATATGTTGTGAAGTAACAATATAGATAGGCAAAAGAAAATGAGCTTTTGGTATGTATCATGACGACCCATCTCTCTGTAAAAGTGAGATTTGGGTTGGAAGATTGATTCAGAATGTGGGGTCTAATGAGAATTTGTGTTTTATGTGTGTGTGTAATATAGGCAAATATTGACAGAGATATAGATGTAGGAGATGGGGAAGATGAGTATATGGAAGAAAGAGGGTAAAGGAAAGGTATTTGTGTTAGTAATTTAAAAAAGGAACTTGATTCCATTGGAGGTAAACCCTGAATTTTAAACCATCCAAGAAAGGGAATTCTACTATTCAGCATCTCTTGTGTATTTGCACCAAAAACAAACATTTTATTTTCATTTACACATAATGAGTAATCATTGATGCTAATAATAAGAGGGAGAGGGAAGAAGAAAGGGATGGAGTGTGTGAGATGAAGACAACCTTTGCAGTTTCTTTCTTAGAGAATATTAGAAGAAAGTTTACAACCTTTTTTATTAATCCGATGGAATCTTATGACCCAAATTATCATATGATCGCAAGTCCCCACCTTAAGATTTCTCAAATTGTGCATATCATGAGTAAAGAGATGTCATAACATTTCCAATGCAACCCATATACCACAAAATGTACCAAAGAGTAACAATCTTGAAAGAAGAAAGTAATGATTGGTGCGGGGCCATTAAGATAGATAAAAAAACTCCATTTATAGGTTGCAATTGCATGATTCCATGAAACCATCTTCAAACAACAAACCAACACAGAAATAGAAACTGTTTCCTCTGACATGATACTCAATGCTAGAGCCTAGAAGATAGCTAGAAATGAGCAAGAATCTAACAGAGCTTACCTATCAAGAACCAAAAAGGGTAAAGAATCTAACAGTTGAGTTTGTTTCTCCGGGGAGACAAATCTTCAAACTCAGAATCCGTAAGTTGTGAATTCTTGATCACACGGCAAAAAGCACTATTCTCCAATCTACGAGCCATCATGATGATATCCCTTAACCCCTTTGGTGGAAACACACGAAGCATTTCCTGAATCTCATCCTTAAGCCCTTTAACGAAAACAGCTTCCAGAAGAGAGTCAGGGACATCCAAACACTGCGACGAGAGTTCTTCAAATTCACCAAGATATACAATAACAGAATCAACCTGTTTGAGAGAGAGGAACCGTTCCATAACAGATCTGAAATCACCAAATCTCTGTAACAAACGAGATTTGAAATCATGCCAATCAACAAAAGGGTTACGATTCTCGCAAAGGTTAAACCAACTCAAAGCAGGTCCTTGGACACTCATATAAGCTAATCGAATCTTCTCCGTCTCTGTGAAACTACCGAACCCGAAGTATCGTTCTGCTCTGAGAATCCATGAGTTTACATTGAGACCTTCGAATACTGGCATCTCGACCTGGACCTTCTTCAGATGAATGACGCGAGACTTGTCTTTCCCATCGATTGAGTTATCCACCACGGTTGTTAATTGTTGCTTTGGAGGTGCAGGGAGGTCTTCATGATGATGATGATTCACCGTAACTTGTGATGATGATGATGATGGTTCCGTTGGTGGTTGAAGAAGAAGAGCTGATTTCATCTCCGCCATGGATTTTAATGTCTCGGCCATGGAATTGAGTAAGTCACCCACCGTGGAGTGAAGTAGAGCCATCGTATTTTGAACTCCACGCATCGATTCAATCAGTGAATCGGCGGAATCATCGACCTGATCGAGAATCTGTATCGCTGCCATTGAAACGAACAAATATCTCTCCTCTCCTCTATGAAACGAAACCCCTAAATAAAATCCTCTTTTTTCTATTTCTCTAGAAAAGGAGAAAAAAAGAGTGGACCCCACAGTCGACGTACTCATCAAAAACGACTGTGCTTCGACCCTCTCATCTCCTTGTTCCTTGCTAATGTATGTTTTCTCAAGCATAAGGGGTAAAAATTTAATATGAGTAGACGACTATTCTATTTGGTGGCAAGGATGGCTAAGAAATCTTTGTTGTTTATATGATGGCCTAAAATTGCCTCCAAGGAGAGTGAGGCTTGGTTCGAGCCTTCGAGGTAGGCGCAACAACCAACCAACATATAGTGCCAATAGAGAGATAGACATGCGGCAGTACGTAAGAGGGTCATAATTTCACTTGTAGTAGTAAGTAGGTTGATGGTTCATGATATTATGGGGATGTTGCAACTAGTGGTGTCTGCAGGAAACGTAATTTATTTGTTGTTTGATTATCATTAGGATTTAGGAATAATATCTGATCAGAGATTCGTATGAGAAAGATTTTTTTGTATGAGAAAGATTGATTACCCCATAGGTATGATTATGAATGTAACATTTGCTGACGATACACAAGAAATCTGATGGTTTTAATTAATTGATATAATTATTATACTTCCTAATCTAACCCATTAAATCCCCCAATTTACAAAATTAACCACTCTCACTACGTAATTTCTATTGATCCAACTAAATAAAAATTGAAAATTAAATAAAATTCCAATAATCAATCAGAGGTGAAGATCATCTCCGAAGAGGTAGAGAAGCCGTTCAACGGCCCAGCTAGGTTCGTTCTTCGCCGGCCAATCTCCACACGACGTCGTATTAGCAGCAAGTAGCGGAGTTCTACAAAGAGGACACGTCCGGTGGTTATCCTCCTCAGCTTCGTTATTATCATCACCACCGCAACATTCATAATCCAACCACCGGTCAATACACTCACGGTGAAACATATGGCTACAGTTCCTGAGCTCTCTTACCTCATCTCCATCTTCCAGATCTCCAAGACACACCGCGCAGGTATCGTTGATCATCGCCGGAGATCTCTCCGCCGCGTCACGGAACGTTGTCACGGAGAGGCTTTCCTTGATTGTCTGTGACGAAATCGAAGGAGAAACGGAAGGGGAGGAGGAAGATGAGGTGGATCTGGATCTGGATCGGTAGCGTAAGATCCATGCGAGAATCCATCTCAAGATGGTGATGAGAACAGCCATTTTGTAGAGAAGTTGAGTGACTATGAGACCAGAATGTTCGATGAAGAAGCTCATTGTTGTGATGATTTTGCTCAAGTGTGTGTGTGTGTGGGAGAGAGAGAGAGAGAGAAGAGAGAAGGGGAGAAGAAAATGGAGAATGAGATTCGTTTTTAATAGAGGAAGGAATAAAGCTGCTTGCTGATGATGAATGATGATGCTTGGCTTTGCTTCAACTTTATTAGTGGTGCCTTTAATTTTTTTTCTATTTTCATTTTGTAGTTTAATTTAAACTTTAAAGTATGTTTATTTTGGGTTTAATTATTTTATTATGCAAGTTGCTTGGAGTTTTTTTATTATATATTTTACAAAAATAGGTGTCAAGTTTTCAATTGTGATGTTGTACACTTTCTTTGCTCTTCATGACTTACAAAACTATGTTAGTTTTTTAAAATAGGGAATATTCGCTTTAATTATTAATGTAATGGGTAAACAATAGTATATGATTTTTATTAGTCGATGAGGCACATAATTGCTGCTTTACTTGATTAGTTTAGACGAATCATTCAAATAATTTTGAAATTTGGAGATACTCAAAAGATTCCGGTCCAAATATGGGACATAAGATAAAATATAGGGTCATTTTGTGAAAGTTTAAAACAAAAGATTCTTACAGTTTTGTGCCGTAAAAGTTAATAGACCGACGTGTGAAAATTGCAATTTCGTAAAAGTTAAAGAATATGAATGGCGATAAGAATCAAGTAAATGACGTTTGCCTAAGCATTTTGTGCCGTTCGTGTCACAACTTTAGTTTTCGCCTTTTTCTTTACCAAAGCACCCCTAAAGAGAAACATTATTTTATATTTTGTTATCTTGTTTTCTAATGGGAGATGACCATTTGATGACCATAAAGAGAGATAAGTTACTGTAATATTTACTAATTTATATGCTTAAAGTTTTAAAATATAATCATGATAACTTGATTGTATATGGCGTCATTTCTGGCTTTTGACCCATACGCAGGGACAGTTTTCTATCAACCTTACGTGATTATTGACCGGGCAAGATGTTAATTATATTTAATACTTACGCTTATGTTATACCTTTTGTCTAATGAATGATATGGATTAATTTACAAATATCCCACGTAGAGTAGATCAAATCCCATTGGTCTTTGCTTTGGTTGTCCATTTTCAGCGTGGTTTCTCGATTTAATATGACTCATACTCGACTCGAATTTCAGAATCTATTTTAATGAATATGAAAATGAATCGAGTATATGATAAGATAACGCAAATTTATCTGTTTGGGTAAATGAATATAGTATATTCATAAAATCCACTGATTTATTTTGTATCCTAGTCATTATTAGGCGTTGGCTAATCAGCCTTAACCAAAATTGTAGTTATCAGAAGAATATGAAAACAATAGAAAACAAGGTATCAAAGAGCTTTCTTCGTTAAAGAATATGCATTGCTCTGTCTTGATCTCAACTCAAACGAAAGTTCTTCCAGGAACTTAGAACTATATATATAGTAAAGATAAAGATTCTTAAATAACAGAGTTGTGATAAAATATTGAAACTCGAACCTAGGATATATGACATGTCGACCAATCTAACAAACCTTGTCACTAGACTATGAATTCATGTCGGCTCGATATTATTGTTTTATTAAAATGTATAGTTTATGCATTTCCATTTACTGTAATTTCTTGATAAATTGGTCATTGGTGCACTTTTTTTGTGTTACTTTTCACTGTTTGGTAAAAGAAACTGAAAGATATGGAACCACGAATTCAAACCAAATCATCTATAAAACAACAAAATCAAAAAACAAACATACTTTTTCTGGTAAGACAATTGATAATGGTCGCTATAATTAAAGCTTGCGATTGCAAGGACCCATGTTTTGATCTGCTCTGCTTTATAATGTGGTTTGATCGGTTGACCAAACCTTTACAACGCAAAACCACCTCAACATTGTAGGTGACAACAGATATATCTTATAGATATAGATAATTATATATATATATATAAAATGGCCTACGATTTTTTTTATAGATGGGATCATTCAAGTTTTCTTTGGTATCCAAATAACTTAAGATTTTGTATTTAGTGGTTCTTTTCCACAAATCGAATTTTCACTGATTAACATTTATGCGTTAGGAAAAATACACATACCCATATTATATCCTGCTAAAACATATTTCGCTAACATATCAGTGAAAATGGGATGCAGGTAGAAACAGAAGACACAACCAAAACAAACTAAAAACTTTGGAGCTAACATTTTTTTTCAAACGTCTAAATTCGAAATCAAAACAATATTAAAAGGAAACAAAACAAAAAGATTTGAGTTTAAAGGAGCAAAACATTAAACATTTTAAAAGGTTGTATTCTGATCCAAATCAAAAACACAATCATGAAAAACTCTAGGCTCCCACCACGTTCATGTGTTTGGTTTTTCACATCCTGTCTTCTCTCCTCCTAGGAGCACATGTAATGATTTCATCCACTCGCAGTATCATCTCAGATGCTTCTGTTGCTGAAAGCAGAACCGCTTGCTTCACTTTGAATGCTTCATAGATTCCTCTCTCTTCCATATCTCCTACCTGTAAAGAATCAAACATCATCATCTCAATTCAAGTCTAGCATTGCACATTCCATGGCGAATCCTAATGTTTCTAAAGTTTACTTACAGATCCAGAGATGACATCGATTCCGGCGTTACACCCTTCAGTATGGTGCTCTGCACGAAGCTGAGCAACTAATTCTGCACTGTCTAAACCAGCGTTGTCAGCAATTGTTGTCGGTATAGCAACTAGAGCACGTGAGAAAGCTTCAATGGCATGAGATTTTTTGCCAGCAGTTTTCCTTGCAAGCTCATCTACTTCCTTTGCCATCACCATCTCTGGCCATCCACCTCCAAGCAATACTCTAGTATCATTCACTGTTTGGGAGAGTACACATAAGGCATCATGGAGTGATCTTTCAGCCTCATCTAGAACATGGTGACTGCAAGAACAAAGATAGATACCACACAAAAATTGCACTGTGAATTAGAAACAGGATAAAGTTTACACACAGCCTTTTAAGTAATGGGAGTGAAAAATGGATACCTGGCCCCCCTGAGGACAATTGAACAAGCCTGGCCCATTTCACAACCAGAGAAATGGATCAACTTGTCTTCACCAATCATGATTTCTTCAATGAGCTTGCAATGACCAAGCTTAACAGACTCTGGGTTGTCAAAGGTCGAAGCAATTTCGCCACCAGTAACCAAACCAAGCCGCTCTATTCCCTCAAAGTCAGCATGCTCAATTGCAAGAATACCAGCATCTGCAAAGAGTTCCTCGGGGAAATTGTAGATCAACTGCCTATTAACAAAGCAGTTGATTCCGTGGGCTATGATTTTCTTCACCTTGTCTTTCATCTTTTCCTTCTCAGCCCCTTCAATCTCAGCAACCTTGGTCATGGAATCCACACGGACACGTGCACCATAGATCTTCACTTTATCGGTATCCATAGCGGTATTTGCAACTAAGATCTTTGCATTCTCTATGCGCTTCGGCTGCCCAATTCCAATCTTCTTGTCAAGAATAAACCTATAGGCATAGAATTAAGTTGTGGTGTCATAAGACAAAATTACTGAATCGACAGAAGAAGGAACGCAACAAAACAAGATGACCTCATGCCTATCACCATTCCAAATTAAGACTATTAACGAAATGAAGGTGCATAAGCTATGAAGAAGAAGAGAAACTTAAACACAACAGAGTTACCATGACAGATGAATACCAAAAAAAAAATGAATAGCTCACAGAACTGAATTTAAACAGAGAAGCAAAAAGTGTTGTCCTACCCTTCATCCAAAAAGGAATCCCTCAGGGCCCCTCCAGGTTTTTTGATGATCTGAATAGCTTCCAAGTTTGTGCTTCCCTATTTAAGCAACAAGACCAGAATGTCAGGGAAAAATCATATAACACTCCAAAACGAAAACATGGGAAAGAAATTAATAGTGAAATGCGACCAGCCTATCTCATCACAATCCTCAAAGAAAAGCTCTTCTTTCATGGAAACAACACATAAATAGCACAGAAAGAGAGTGAAGGAACACACTGCTGACTGAGTTTCAAAAGAGGCAGAGATGGAACCTTTAGCCTGAAAACAGCATCTACGGCCATTTCTGCAAAATGTTCCTTGTCCTGTGAGAGAATTTTGGAGCATAGGGTAGTCATAGCAATCTTCAACAAGTCTGACCTAAACTTCTCTGCATTGACACAAAACACAATACTGTAAACAACAGTGTGATTTCGTAGTGGACTGTAAAAGAAAGCACCGCTTGAACCCAACATCGAAGTAAACACACAAACAAGCGAATACAATACTTTAATCTGTCTGCATAACAAGGTTGAGCCATCTCTATATATGATTACCTGCATTGTCCTTGTTATCAATTACTCTTTTAAGTAAAGCATTGCGAGCACATTCCGAAGCCATTCTGTAACCTAAGAAATCAGCAAATTTAAAAATTAGAAATCATTGTCATAATGGAAGAAGCTGACACAACGTTGCCAGAAGCTTACCTGCTATGATCGTCATAGGGTGAATCTTAGAAGCAACAAGCTTTTCTGCTTCCCTCAGAAGCTCACCAGCCAAGACAACAACAGAAGTAGTCCCATCACCAACCTCATCATCTTGAACTTTCGAGATGTCTGAACATCAAACCAGATACAAAAACAGTAAGAAAGACTCACACAAAAAAATACAGAATTTGCAGGAGATTGCATACATACCAACAAGAACTTTAGCTGCAGGGTTGTCTATGTGAAGTGACTTGAGAATAGTAGCACCATCGTTAGTAACAGTGACAGCATGACCTCTACCAGTAGATTGTAAGATTTTATCCTAAACAATAATAATATAAGATTCAACAACAATCAATAGAATCAAATTGAAAGTTTGGAGCTTTCGAAATATTCAGAGATCGGAAGTTACCATGCCCTTTGGCCCTAAAGTAGACTTAACCAGATCACTGATAGCCATTGCACCAACAAATGATGCCTAAAAGAGCAACAACAAAAAAAGATTTAAAACAGTACAAGAGTGAATCTGAAAAACCCTAAATCCTAATCGATTAAAAGACTCACCATCCTCGCACGTTCTCCCTTCTCTTCACTAGCATCATCTTTGAAGATCTTATCGATCTAAACACGAAATAGCTAAGTTAATAAAGAGCACTGGGAAAGCAAAACAAATGAAAGAGACGACGGAGAATCATTACCGGCATCGGAAAGAGCGGAAGAAGAAGAAGGAGGCTTCTTCAGTATCGGAGATCTCCTCGCAAGTAGAATCTGTGAACAGTGAGAAACAATAGATGGGATCGTTTACGAAGAACGAACAAGCCGAGAGGATCTCGAAATATTGTGTGAGCTTTTAAGAAGAGAGTAGATAATGAGGGAGAGAGCCAAAACCCAGATCTTTCGGAACCCTAAATCAAAATTCAAAAGACCAAACTACCCTCACATTTCCCAGATTTCTTCTGCCCTCCCGGTAAAAAGGTTAAAGTTTATATTGGAAGTAAATATTTATAAATGTAATCCGTTGGGTATATTAGAAATCATTTTAAGACGACTAAGCCCAACAGTAGTTTACGAGCCCAATGAATCAAGGTCCAAGAGGAAGAAGATTCAATCTCTCATCCACTTATAATTAGACACGTTTGGAGTTCCGGATAACAGAATGAGAAAGCATGTCCGGGAGAAACGACACCGTATCGTATTCGCGCACGTTGCTAAATTACCCTCTTGTTGTCTTTTATTGTCTTAGCACTACCAAAGTCAACCAAAAAAAAATCAATATCAATCGCCACGTGTCAAATTACAGGAGCTTATACGGAGGATAAATCTCGGAGGTTCCCGGTCTGAACGATGTGGAGACGAAGCGAAACAAAAGCATTCGGCAAAAAGACAGATCTACAACTTTTGAGAGACAAGTCATGAATAAGGTGAAAGACGAGCCACGCGCTTCCGTAGAAGGTGGATGTGGTGTTGCCGACGGTGACGGCGGCGCAGCTGAGATCGCCGGTACCGGATCTGTTGAGAAATCGATTAACAAAGTTAGGTACGAGCTGTGTTTTAAGTTGCTGTTGATTTCACATGTTTTTATATGTTTCTCCGTTAGATTTGAGGTTTAGTTCTTGAAATTGCATCTTGTTTCTGATATGGAAGATCAGCATTTCGATCTGGTTACTTTCGGATGCATATTTGAAAAAGAGGGGACTTTAGTTTCTATTTAGGGAAAGTCATATATTTCTCAAAGGAATCAATTTGTTCTTTGGCTGGAACAATTGGTTTCTTATCAATCTTCAAAGTCCTTTTATGCATATACATAAGTTTTCATGTTCTTAGCTATTTCATTGTTCTTAATCTTGCATCAATAGTCCATCTTTATAGTGGGTCACAAGTTTAATAGATCATCTGCTATTGAAGGTCCACGGAGATCCAAACCTCTGAGCTAACGGTTCTTCCAAGTCAACTTACTATTTTCTTTGGTGGGAGTGTTACTGTGCTTGATGGACTTCCAGCAGAAAAGGTTGGTCCATTAGAGCTTTGTTGTCTGAAAAGCTTCTGAATTCCTGTTCTCACTGTGATCTATGCTTATAGGTTCAAGAAATCCTCCGTATTGCTGCCAAAGCAATGGAGACTAAGAGTTCTACAAGCATCAGTCCTGTCCAATCGCCAGCACTGAACAGAGCTCCTTCTTTCTCAAGCACATCTAATGTCGCTTCACCAGCTGCACAGCCATTTCCTATTCAGCCAATCTCGTTTTGCAGATCCGCGGCTGGTAAGTATTCGATTCAACTGGTCATAGTTATCTTCAAACATTGAAAATGAACTCTCATTAGTTTCTTACAATTGTGTTTGCCGATTCAGATCTACCTATTGCAAGGAGGCATTCGCTTCAACGATTCCTTGAGAAAAGAAGGGACAGGTATGCATCCTTGAAAACTACACTCCATCCTTCTCCATCTCACTAGAAATTCAAATCTGATCTATTTTATTCAGTTTTTGATTGATTACTGATAAAGAGCTTGTTGCTGTGCCTGAGAGAGACTTGTAAAGACAGATTAATCGTAATGTTTATTTAACCTTGATAATGCATCTAACAGCATCATTCACTTTTTTGTTAATCTGCAGATTGGTCAACAAAAACCCTTACCCTACTTCTGACATCAAAAAGACAGATGTCTCAACAGGAAATGTTTCTATCAAGGAGGAATTTCCGACTGCTTAGCAGAAGATCAAACCTCAAGGCTACAATAAGCTTTTGAGTAAACTAAGTAGAACGTTATGTCAATATGGTTAATATGATAATCTATCATGTACGCTGCTGTGTGTAATGTGTTGTATGGTAGTGTTTGTATAGGTTTGCTAGACAAACCGAAGATTGTTTCCTTGTCTGGAGTGGTCAGATATGTTTGTCATTTTACAAGTCTACTGAAGAAACTATTGTAGTTTTAGTACCAGAGTCCTAGAGTCTATCTAACTAATGACTCTTTGATGTTATGTTATTGAACTTGGTATCTCTTCAAGATACAATTTGTGTGTAAAGTAAAGAAGTCTGTGTTGTTGTTATAAGCACAAAACAAATCGAATCTATATGTAAAATGGGATTAAAAATTGTGAATGACGCAACAACAAATGCGAGATGTTTGAGTTAAAACAATGGGAGTGTGTCACAACTGATTAAAATTTAAACGTACATATATTCACCTCCGCGGACAGCATTCTCTGCGCCTTTCCTCTCTTCTTCGGCCTCTTTCTCCCTCTCTTTCCAGTTTTCGTATTTCTGATCGTCTGTTGGTAATTCATGGCGGCATATAGGGCAAGAGTTATGCTCGTCCTGCCACAAAACAACATGATCATAAGCTTTTTGTTCTTCCTTAATCGTAAGTCTAAAAGAATGGTTTTATTTATGTTACCAGCCAAGGCTTTAGGCAAGGAGGGTGAAATGTGTGCTTGCATGGCAACTCCTGCATTTTGTCGCCAATTACCAGATTCTCCTTGCAGATGCAACATTCTGCCTCTGCTCCGAACTTTTTAAGCAATTCCTCGCTGAAAATGATGACTGGGAGTTTCTCGACAACTTCTTTACTTGCCGGTGGAGCTCTTGGTGGTCCACCATCTTCTAGTATCTGCATAGAACACATCATATATATACCACTTTTCAATCATGAGACTACGAAAAAGACCTACCAATACAATATTAGAGGTTGAGGTTAAATACTCTTGACACAGATGAATGAGACAAATAGCCAGTCATATTGGAACCAAGTGGAGAAACTCAATATGCAAAAAACAACATATGGGTAAAATGATGATGATAAAAAATTGCTTTCATCTCATCTTTAGGTGAAGAAGCTTGTTATATCAGCTATGTGTGATCGTACATAATCGAACACTAACAAGGAAGAAAAGAGAAGGCAATACCTCTGGAATGATCATGTCAAGACCGTTGATGAGTTCTTGCATCAAGTTGGCAGTTTCCCCAAGAGTGTTTTCAGCAGGACCATTAGAGGATTCACCAGCAACAATCGAAGCGAAAGCAGACATGAGATTCTGCTGCACTAGCCACTGAGGCTGTGGCGGCTCACGATCAACCGTTAAATGTCCCTCAAAAAGATAGCCTGAAAAAAATTCACAAGAGAAATAAAAATCATCCCAGATACTTTTCAGTTAAAACCATAAAAAGCCAAACTAAATGTTTCACAAACCTTGTGAGCTCTCTGTCGGCTGATTATCTACTTCGCTTAACTGTTCCTTAGCTTGAACAATGCAAGATTTCAAATGTTTCTTCTCAGCAGCATCAGACACAAGTCGCTCAGCCTCTTCGAAAAGACTCAGCCCAGCAACCCAAAATCCAGTAGCTGTATATCTTGTCTTAAGAACCGTAGCGACACGAGATACAACTATATAGAACTGCAATGGCCATCAAACACAAATCATGTCACAGAAACACAGATCAGATTAAATGAAAGATCTTTGACATGAACATGAACTTTCTCCACAATTGAAATAGAAAACAAAAAAGGAAAGATGTTTGATTTCTAATTCAATCCTCAAAAGTAAAGCCCAACATAAAAAATAAGCAATGAGTAAACGTCAAGGCTGGCATAAACCCTAAAAATTCCGAGAAATTTTGAATCTATTGGTCCGAGAATCTAAGAATGAAACCAACCTGTTTGCGGAGAGAAGGAGAGGAAGAAGAGTAGTGATCACGGAGAAGATTATGAATAGAAGAAACAGATGCTTCGAATCTAAGCTTTTTGTTAAGCTGTTTCTGCAGATCATCCAGCTCAAGCTTCAAGCTTTCCTCGGAAGGAGACGGAGAAGACGATGTATCCATTTAAAAATTTTATTTTCTAAGAGTTAAGGAGAATTCTCAGGGGTTTCGAAAGAATTGGGGATTTTGTAAGAATGATGGAAATGAAGAACAATTTCTTGTCTTCTGGGATTTTTCTAGGAGACGAGTTTTCTTGATCAGGAGGAAAGGACGAAGTCGGTCGGTTTTGCTTTTTTTTTGTCGACGGTCGATTTTGCTTAATCTAGTTCAGTTCGGTTTCGTTCGGTTCAAGACCAAAAGAACAATCGGTAATTAACGATTGTTTGGTTTGGTTCGGTTCGAGACCAAAAAATTTGGTTTCTAACTTATCCGATATTAAATATAAAATTACAATAATTAATCCAAAAGCTAAACCATTTTAAAATATGGATTAAATATAATTTTCACACCATTTTAAAATATGGTTTACATATAATTTTTATGTGAAAAAACGAATTCGAATTTAAACAATTTTTTTTTTTTTGGGATCAAAACCTTGTTTTCTTAAAAGAAAAGTTAAATAATGTTTTATTAAAATCCGAACCGAACGTCGACAAAAAAAAAAGTTGCGAAACCGTATTCACTAGTATTTGATTTTTATAGGATGACTGTAACCCTATTGGAACTCTTTCTGAACCTTGCACGCTTTAATTTGAGTAAACACAAAGCCTCATTAGTCTATTAATTTTTAACTAAGAATGTTGAACCTCACTATCATTACTTAACATGAAGATGGAACAGCTTTGCATGAACAAGAGCATTGCCACAAAAAAGAAGTCCATGGATTTACTAAATCGACCTTCAAGTTGACCACATGAACCTGACAGAGTAAAAGGTTTTGATCCTATCCCATTTTTTAAAGTCAAGTCATAATCTGGTGATTCTTGATCATATTCCCAAACAACTTCAAAAAAAAAACAAGACAAGTATTTCAACCCATAAATTCATACAGAAGCAGTAGAAGAGAAGCATAGCTCCGACTCCATAACAAGCTCACTTCACCTTCTAATTTCTCAAGTCTTCCTGCGACTAACACGAGCAACAAACCCTGTTTTGATCGGAGCCACAGATCGTTGAGATCCACACTGCAAAACCATGTAGCCCAGTCGTTAATCACATTAGCAAATTGAAACACAGAAGATTGGGCATACCAAAAAATAATCAACTCATTCTAAATTAACTAAATCAACATCCTCGCACGACACTCTAAATTAACTAAGAAAAGTATATTCCTGATGAGTTTATCCAAGAGAGGTTCAAGCCGTATCAATTACAAGACAAAAAAGCATAAAACAATTTGGTTCGATTATTACCAGCCCAAGTATCTTAAGACAATATAACATATATAAGCTTCTCTTAAAATTTTCTCTCCATTATATGACATAAAGATAAAGATGATGTAGGCAAGAAAACATGTTACTATGTAGTTGCGCAGATAGTAAAACAGAATCAAAGGAATGCATATCAAGATAAGGACTAAAAAGATTAAGTTATACCTTTTCACATCTCAGAAAGAAGAGACGGTTCTCCTTCGAGAGAATTGTGTCTGGGCTCTTGCAACCAAGGCAAATGACGTAGTCAGCTGAAATAATAACCAAGCGGTTAAGAACTCCAAATTGATATTCTTTTATGGCAACTCAAATTTTGAGACTAAAAAGAAAGATACTTACTGATATATCGCCGCAAAATTCCTTCAAAGTTCTTAGGTGCAAACCTTCCCTTAACAACCAACCTTTGCTGCCCATCAAGCGAACCACTAGTACCCAACTCAGCAAGCAAGTATTGCATAACATGATCTGGTTGACGATGCATCCTGATTTTTTAAATGCAGATAAAACATGTCATACAGTCATCAAAATTATTAGCTAATATCACTTATGGTTAAACGAAAAAGTTTGAAGAGGAAGATAAAGGGTTTGCTCATACGTCTTGCAAAGGTCCATGAAGTTGACAAAGACAGTCTTCTTTGTCCCCTCACGAAGAACTTGAGGAGGCCTCATAACTGTACGACGCCTATCTCCAGCAAGCTCCGGATTATTTTCACGGAGAATGTTAAAGACTCTACCAAGAAGCTGTAGATATAACTCCCGTCAGCAAAAACCAGGGAGCGAGAGATTTTTGAAATGGATACAATGACTCAAGGACAAAAGAAGATTAATATTTTTCACAGCCAAAAAATGTTGTAAATCAATTCGGTTTAAAACAAAAGAAACCATCAATAATATAATCACCTCGTCATATATGTAATCCCTCTCACTGCCCTCCCAGGGGTAACGTTGCTTTAGAACTATTCCTTCTTCCCCCTCTTCCTCGTCATTAGCAAGCTCTGCAATATATTCTCAGTAAGATTCAACAGGATAAAAATCATGCCAAGAGAAAAAAGAAGGAAATTAAAAATACCATCCAAATCTTCTCCAGCATCAACACTTTCATTGTTCAATGCACTTGATTCAGCCTAATTATAAAAAAAAAAACAATGTGAGGAACATAACCATCAAAACACAAGTTTAATGACATAAAAAACATACTAGGCACAAAACGTAAAACATTACTCACTGGCTTCTTCTTCTTTTTCTTCATCCCAGTGAATGAACTCTCAAGACCATCATTAACTACAAAAACAAGGAATTAGACAAAATAACAAAAAAAAACCATTGAAAATTAAAACATTTCACATCACATTGAATCTTCATCATACCAGGCAATGAATCAGATTTCTCTATCTGTGACGACTCTGCTAAGTCCTCAATAGGTTCCTGAATCACAACCTTCTTCTTCTTTTTCTTCTTGGATGGATCAAAGGGTGCGAGCTGCTGTAGGATGAACCAAAACATAAAAACCATTCAATCATGAAGAAACAGAGGAACCTAGTTTACACACAAAAAAAAAAAAAAAACTTACTTCTTGCTCTTCCCTTATCTCATTGTTTTCATCAGCCATGATTGCAACTGAGATAGAAACGAAAACATACAATGATAATAAGCACTCACAAACCAAATAAATATATTAGAATCAAAATAATCTGTAACAACGATGAGCATAGGCAAGTCCGAAATTAGGGTTTCTAAATCAGAGCGATAATCGCAACGTCAACGAAACCATAACGAGATTCAGAATAAATTTTCGATTCCCGCTAAAAAAAATACCCAAATAAATATAGAACAAGGCTTCAAAAGAGAAAAGGAACAGCTAGGTTTACCAATCTCTATATACTCAAATCTTCCAAAACACGATTTACTTATGAGATAGACCAAAAGAATTCGAAAAGGGATCGAAGAAAACTCACAAAGGAATGTCTAAGCGCTAAGATTGGCGTAGAGAGTTAACAAAGGTTGCTTCGGGAGGAATCTGCGAGAGTAAGCGGCGCAGGGCTTGTTTTAATCTGAGATAAGAGTTAACCCTTGCTCGTCCGAATTGTAACTTCTTTTTTTTTTTTTTTTGGGGGTTAAATTCAGCAAACAAATCTCTATAAATATTTCATTTTGCCAAACAGTTAATATTTCATTCCTACCAAAATAGTTAATATTTCATTTTACTTTTATAATATAATAACTTAACTTTAAAATTTTCTTATTTTATTTGTTTTAATTAATTAATAAATTTTTTTAAAGTTGTTTTTATCAGATTATTTTTTTCTTAAAAAATGTTAATTTTTTTTGGTAGGATTCTTAAATTTTTTTTATTAATTATAAATGAAATATAAATAAATAAATCAGAATATATGTAGAGTCAAAATATAATCTAGCATATTTTTATTTAATAAATTATTAAATTATATTATTTTACTATTTAATATATTAACCTACTTTATTTTGTTAGGTAATGAATCTACTAAATCTTCCTTTTTTTTTAATTCAGTAGTAAAAATATCAAGTTAATATTTCATTTTTCAAATAGTTAATATTTCATTTTACATATCCTCTATAATTTAACTTTGAATGTTTTTAACTAATTATCAAATTAGAATTTATCAAATTAAAGGTTTTTAATTAAATTAATATTTCTTTCTGAACATGTGTGAAAAATAAAATATATAAACATAATTGAAACTAATAAAGAAAGAAATCAGAATATATATAGTGTCAAAATTAATAATCTAGAATATCTTATTTTACTATAAATAACTAAATTATATTATTTTACTATTTAATATATTAAGCACTCTTTTTGTTAGATAACATTACATAAAAAATAAAAAAGTCTATGTTGAGGTTCAAAATCTGAACTTAAGAAGATGTGATATATGCTATTTATTATTCCTACCAAAAAAATATATATGCTATTTATTATTATTTTAAAATATATACATCTGTTTTAGAATTTTTTAAACTTATTTACGTACATTATTATTTCCTAATTTTCATAAAAACGAGTAAATTTAGAAATGATATGTTGACGAAAGGGAATTTGAATATCCACTAAATATTTTTAAAAGGATGGAAAGAGAGATTAAAATACAAAATACTAATATGTAATTGCGAGAACATATGTCTCTCTTAAAAATAGAAAATTAAAAGACAACTTTAACATTATAGATTTATAATAGACGAAAATTAGATATTATAATTATTTTTTTGGTTTTCGTATTCAAAGTTTAAATTAAAATTTGCAAAGTAGCATCTAATATTGTTATATAAGTATTTATCAGATTTTCTAGAATTAATAGTCGCGTCGGACATATAGTGAGCTAATAATTAGAAATAATTGTAAAATTAGAAACTTTATTGTTATTATTTTTGTATCGTTTCAATTTTATCGGATATCTCATATCAAATAAAAAATTAAAAACCACTGAGGTGGTCAACCCTAATCCATGACACCAAATGGAAATAAAAAGGAAAAAGAGGAAATTTCCCAAATTAACACCCATACCTATTGTACTCAAACCTCAGATTATATAATTAGGCCAAAATCTGATAAACCAAAAAATGTTTCACAGTGAGTGCTAAAGAGAACTTTGTGTTGACCCCTCTCTTTCCCTCCTAATTCCTTAGGGTTCCTCGATTTTTCTTTTTCACCGAAACACAACCTTCTCTCTCTATCTTTCTCTGTACGTTTTATTCACTTTCCTCCACGTGGATTTTGCATAAAAGCATGAAAATTTGTTGATGGGTTTCTCTTCGACATCCAGATTCTAGCTTCCAATTCCGTAAAAAAAACCCTAATTTTTCGAATTTACTCTGATCTGGGTAGAAGAATTAGGGAGTGAAGTGTCCGCAAGTGTTTGGCAATGTCGGATGACATGGTGATGCATTTCTCCTCGAATTCTTCCAATCAGTCGGATCACTCTTTGCCCGACAAAATCGCCAAGCTTGAGGCCCGCTTGACTGGTAAGACCCCTTCCTCGGCGAAGCCACCACAACTGCAGCAGCAGCAGGTCTCTGTCTGGTCATCTGCTTCTTCTGCCGCTGTCAAAGTCGTGACTTCCACACCCCCGGGATTGTCGGAAACCTCTATCAGTGATTCCGATGACGAGGTAGCTTCAGATGTTTTGTGACAAGAATTCAAATTTTTTATGTCTATGCTATGATTAAGCGTGGTTGGTAATTCACTTATTCTACTTGGTGTTGATGTCTTTATCCTCTGTAGATCCTTGTATTGATCATAGGTTCGGTTTGTGCATAACAAATATTGCTCAAAGTTTTATGCAATGTTGGCTACATATCCTGGCATTCTATATTTCTTTCTTGAACAAGAATATACAGTCCCTTTCTAGCTAGATCTCATTCTCCTTGTTACTGTCTCAGAATACTGGAGATTTCCTAATCCGAGCGAATACCAAAAAGCGACAGAAAGTTCAAGAGTCTAACAACTTCAGTGTTGTTGATCATGTTGAGGTAGTGATTTTTCACTAAGACTTTTCTTTTACTCTCTTATCAGGTTGATGTTTTTTATATAAAATCTTGGTGTATGTTGTTGTATAAGATTTCTATGTGATATTGAAATAGCTTATTATGATGTAAGTTTTATTTCTTATCAACTTATAATGAAGAATATTGTTGAATTGAAGCCCCAGGAGGCAGCATATGATGGAAGGAAAAATGATGCTGAGTCCAAGACAGGCCTTGATGTAAGTAAGAAGAAACAAGGTCGAGGTCGGGCTTCCTCAACTGGTAGAGGGCGTGGGTCTAAAACTAATAACGAAGTGACAAAATCTCAGTTTTTGGGTGCACCAGTATCAGCTGCAAATCAACAGGATGTCTCTGAGCAAAAGGTTAATATTGTTTACCTCATCTGACCTTACATGCAACCACTCTTCTCGTTATCGAGGATTTACATATATTAGACTTAATTTCATTGACAAAACGTGGACACGAGTTTTATGTTTTCCTGAAGTAAAACCTTTTAGTTGGCCTGTGTGAAAAAAATTAAGCAGGACAAGAAAGAATTACTATGCCCTTTCCTACTTTGTTTTGCTGAAGCGAATCTTTATCTAGATTTGCGTTGATATTGATGACCAGACGCAGTTTATTGATGAATATTCTGCTTTTTATTCTCCAGGATTTTAGGCCTGATGGACAACTTAGGAATGGTGAATGCTCTCTCCATGATGTAAGTTTCTTTTATAATTTCTTTTACTCTGTAATATCGGAGAATATGTTTTTGTCTCATTGCCTAGGACTAAGCTGCATCTTCTAAGTTGGTTAGAATAAGTGAACGGGATTATTATGTATGATTATCCTACAACAATGAAACCGCACAGTTATATCTTTCTTTATCCACTATTTTGTTCCTTGTCTATATATAAATCAGGAAGACTTGACATCTTTGCGTGCAAAAATCGCTGTGCTAGAGGAGGAATTGCGTAAATCTCGACAAGATTCTTCTGAGTATCACCACCTTGTCAGGAAGCTTGAGAATGTATTGTGTGAATGCCTTTCAGATTTAGCCAATCCTGCTTATGCTATTAGCATTTTTGTCTATCCCCATTCCCCTGCCCTGCCCTGCTAATAATCCTAGTAATGATATATGCAGGAGGTAAAAGATCTGAAAGATCAGGAACAACAAGGGAAGCAAAAGGTACGCAAACTTTTGTTTCCATGTCCTAATAGATTATTGAGAACTTTTATGATCTTTTATTAAATTTCCCACCTACTATGGCATGGTTACTTTTACTGTTCTCAATGATTCTGGGAGAATCTTAGAGTTATTAGCATTTTCCTCCATAAGAAGCATGGTAGTTTTATCCTGAGAAAGGTAAATCATTGACAGTCTCCTGATTAGCTTAGAATGCTCACTAAATTTATTGATGGTGCTGCTGCTAGAGAACTAAAATATCTGTGAAAGCTTGGATCTTGCAAATATCTGTGAAAGCATTTAGTAGTATTTCTTTAGGTAAAAATAATAGGCAATCTATTGCGGATAAGGCGATTTAGGTGCATTGAATGTGGAACCAAATTGTAACGAATAAGGATCAACATTTTGGCCTTTTAATCACTCTTAGTGAACTTGAAAACGAACTGGGTATCTTCATATCAACTTGGTAATTAAATTGGCAGAAAATTTTACACTCCCTCTAGCAATATTCCTGTTAGTGTAATGAAGCAATTATCAATATTTTATGGCTGCTTCTCTCTGATATCCTTAATAACTTTTACAATCTTATGCAACATTCGGAATTATTTGGTCTAAGATAACAGTGCATTTGCTAACAGCAAGCTTTGAACCTTTCTTTTTCTTGACGCAGACAACTAAAGTAATCTCTGACCTTCTCATATCTGTTTCCAAAACTGAGAGACAAGAAGCAAGAACGAAAGTCAGACATGAATCTTTGCGATTAGGCAGTGTTGGTGTTCTCAGGTCTGCCATAATAAATTTATAATTTTCTATGAGTTCATAGTATTTATCGTGCATATCCTTCATTTCTGTGATCATTTACACAAGTATTGAGAATATATTTCACGGGGAGGTATAATAAAACATGTATAGCAAACAAAAATTTGCTTTAAGGAAAATCATTAAACCAACTCAAATAGAGTTTTAGATAGACATTATTTTCACATTTCTTTTTAATCGCAGCTCTCTTCTTTGCTAAGTTACAAGGTTAGTTCTTGATTTGTGATCAAAATTTAATCCATCACCTGTGTGGCTATTTTGGTGATTTCAGGACAGGAACGATCATAGCTGAGACATGGGAGGATGGACAAATGTTGAAAGATCTGAATGCTCAACTTGTAAGTTAAGCTGTGTAGCGAGGGATTTTTTATCAAACTAATACCAAACATCTTTGAAGTAACTGTATTGATTTTTCTATAAATTTGCAACGAGAAGAGACAATTGCTGGAAACCAAGGAGGCTATTGAGAGACAAAGAAAGTTCCTTAAGAAACGCCAAAATGGTGGTATGTTACCCCAGTACTTTTTAGTTTGTCAGTGAATCCGCGATCTCATGTAATATATGTTGTGATTTTTTCCTTGTGCAAATTGTTATGATGTTTAGCACCCTTGGTTTTTCCATTTAGGTGTAGATAAGAATGACGGAACTGACACAGAATCAGGAGCACAGGAGGAAGATATCATCCCTGACGAGGTTTACAAGTCTCGTCTTGCTAGTATTAAGCGGGTATGTTCCTCCTTATGCATCATCTCAGCTTCTTGTTTCCTCAATGTTGATTGGGTTCTGGTTTTGTATCATACATTTATTGATTTCACCTTTCAGGAAGAGGAAGTTGTTTTGCGTGAGAGAGAAAGGTACACCTTGGAGAAGGGGCTGCTTATGAGGGAGATGAAACGCATACGAGATGAAGATGGTTCTCGTTTCAACAATTTTCCAGTTTTGAATAGCCGATATGCTCTTCTAAATCTTCTTGGTAAAGGCGGATTTAGTGAAGTCTATAAGGTCAGAAGTCAGAACGTTGATAGATACTACATTCTTCTACGTGTGAGAAATATTTTGCAGTTTTTTGATGTTACGTATTTTAAGCAGGCATATGATTTGGTGGACCATAGATATGTTGCGTGCAAGCTTCATGGTTTAAATGCTCAGTGGAGTGAAGAAAAGAAGCAAAGTTACATCCGCCATGCCAACAGGGAATGTGAGATCCATAAAAGTCTTGTGCATCACCACATTGTTCGGCTTTGGGATAAATTTCATATCGACATGCATACATTCTGCACCGTTCTGGAATATTGTAGTGGTAAATCAGAATTCTCCTATCTCTTTGTAGATTCTGGAGTACAATTCTGAGTTCTCACTCTTATGTTTTAAATTTCTAATGCAGGAAAAGACCTTGATGCTGTTTTAAAGGCAACACCTAATCTTCCTGAGAAAGAAGCGAGGATTATCATTGTGCAAATAGTTCAAGGCCTTGTATATCTGAACAAAAAGTCCCAGAAGATAATCCACTATGATCTGAAGCCTGGTAATGTTCTCTTTGATGAGTTTGGAGTAGCAAAAGTGACTGATTTTGGTCTAAGCAAGATCGTGGAGGACAATGTTGGTTCTCAAGGAATGGAGCTTACATCACAGGGAGCTGGAACATACTGGTGAGCAATCTAGTTTTCGTTTCCTTAATATGGTCTTATATTATTTTTGTCTCTTCTACTTCCGGACATCTTATAGCTAACAAGGTTCTATAATATAGGTACTTGCCCCCAGAATGCTTTGAGCTTAACAAAACTCCCATGATCTCATCAAAGGTCAGTGATTGGTCAATGATGTCCTAATCAGATTATCTTATAGAAGTTTTGTGGTACTAAATTGTGCTGAAACTCAGGTCGACGTATGGTCAGTTGGTGTTCTGTTTTACCAAATGCTATTTGGAAAGCGACCTTTTGGACATGACCAAAGCCAAGAACGGATACTACGAGAAGACACAATCATTAAAGCCAAAAAGGTTGAGTTCCCAGTAACAAGACCTGCCATCTCAAATGAAGCGAAGGTAAACTAACTGTACCGGTCTTAAACCTGGTTTAAGTAAAGTAGTACCAAATGCACTTGAAACTGTATCTCCATTCTCACTGTTGCATTTTCTGCAGGAATTGATTCGACGGTGTCTAACATATAACCAGGCAGACAGGCCGGATGTTCTAACAATGGCACAGGATCCATATCTTTCCTACTCTAAGAAATGAGTGTGTGTAGTCTTCACAAGCAAACCAGAGATACTAAAGGACCAGATCCTAGAATTCTTTTTGGTATAGATTATGAAGTTATTGTTTTGTTTGTCTAAATATTTTATCTCCTTTTAGGGTGAATTTAATTTGTCTGTCTTCCTTTTATTATGTAACATGTTATGTATATTCTTCATGTTTTATAATAGAAGAGAGATGAAAGTTGGAAACAGGCTCCATATCATTCTTGCTTCTCGGGTTTAAGACAAAATGAAATGTGATCAATTTGAAGAAAATAAAACAAATCCGGCTGGAGACTACTGGAACTAAACTAAACCGAAGAGTAAACCAAGACAAAACCGAAGATTGAAAACCATTGGCTTACTACAAGCAATTACTACGAGACAAAAGTCTACTTATCCACTCATACCACGAAAAAACTCACACTTGCTTGATTCTTCTTCCATGGCTTTATCCTTTGTTTCTTCAACTAGATTCTCCAAAAAGATGCAATATGGCCTATGGTACAGTGGATCCTTCACGCCACAAATCAGTGTGAGATGCTGTGAAATCGCAAACGAGCCTCCACGACCAAAATCAAAGCTCCAAGTCGGATCACCAATCATCATCGTCGAAGCCCCCAAAGTTATAAAAACGGCGGCTTCAATGCCTTGCCTTAGGGCTAACTCTGGCTTGGTCAAGCCTGGCGATGTTGGAAGGTCTTCTTCTTCTTCATCCAAATTCCTATTTTATACAAACTAGTAAATTTTAAGACAAAACTCAGACTAAAAATCCATCTTTTCTTGCCAGTTATACTAGCTTTATTTACTTGTTTTTTTTGTTATTGTTTTTGCAGAATCGTGTCGAGAAAACCGAAGGACTTGTGGGCAGTTCGACTATCCATTGGAACTTATCTATTAGATGGTAAATATTTCAAAGCTTTAGAGCTTGACGAAGGAGATAGTGATTGACATCATATCTCACGTAAAATTTTCACATTTAACTACATCTTATATCAATTTTAGGATATAAATTTCTTACTCTATAGTCTCTCTAAAACTGCTTAAGCTATATTTTTAAGAAGAGCCTGTCATCAAAGCTTCTAAAATTCAACCATCTAAATGGCTAAAAACACCAACCAAAACATGACTTAATAATAATTCGTAGTAATGTCGTTTCTGTGTGTCAATCTAGATTCAAACTCGGTATAACACATGTTATTGAAAAAGTTGAAAAAATGGGTAGGAATGAACAATTTTAAACCGAAAAAAAAAAATCAGAAATATGAATGATTATTTTAACATTTTGTGTTTTGGCGCAACAATCTTTATCACATCGAAACGTATCCGAGCCGTTAATTTGGGTTAGTGATTAACCCGAATCCAAACGGGTACAACGGGTCATAATGCGGGTCACCAACGTTCATCGGCAACTGATCCACTGTCTTGAACCACGTCCGAGCCAATTTCCCGGTGAATCCGTAATCTCCGAACAAAACATCAGCCACTCCTTGACCTTCCGTTCCCGGTAGCCACGCCGCCACTAGAGCATCGATGTTCGAAATGTACGGCTGCATCACCACAGGACGTCCCGATACAACCACCACCACACATTTCACCGATGCGCACACGTTTTCGATTGTGCTCGTACCTGGTTCGGATATGGTTAAATTCGTGCTGTCTCCGAATCCCTCCGCGTACGGTTTCTCTCCGATGACCACGATTGAGTAATCGAAGTCGCCGGACTTGACGAAATTGGTGTCGGGGTTTTGATTGTAGATAACTTGCGTTTTCGGATCCACCGTGTTCTTCACTGCGGTGAGGATCGTTGTTCCTGAAAAATTCAATTTCAGATTGGTAAATGTTCTTCTCAATTCCAGATTCTATCTGATGGGAATTTGAGAAACCCTAATGTTATATATGAAGATGATTCATTAGCATGGAATGAGGAAAGGTGTGTGTACCAATGGTGAGATTGTTGCCATTAAGGCCTTGCCATGTGATTGTCCAGCCACCACATTGGTATCCCAAGTTATCAGCATGTGTTCCTGCAACAAGGATCTTGTTGGCTTTCTTTGGCAGAGGAAGCAACGGCTTATCCGCATTTTCGCCGTTCTTCAACAACACCAGAGACTTCCTCACTGCTTCCCTTGCCAGTTCTCTGTGTTCCTGTTGAGTTTGTTCAGTGTTAAGTTGGGTTCTCTATCTTAAAACTAATGGTTTATGTTACATACCTTACTACCGAGCTGGTTGGCCAAGCTATGATCAGCTATGGGATTCTCAAAGAGCCCCATTGTGAATTTGACTCTTAAGATTCTCTTCACAGCATCGTCGATTCTGCTCATCGGGATGAGTTTTCGCTTCACCTGACTGGTTAGCTCGTCGATTAATTTGGTCAAGTTTGATGAACCCATGAACTGCATCGAAAAAGTTTAATCACATCATGTGTGTTTATATATCTTTGAAACTAAGAACCATTTCTGAGACTGACCATATCGAGTCCAGCAGTGATAGCGGCATACACAGAGTGTGAATAGTTAGCACCAAGAGGTGTGTTGATCTGATCAACACCTAGATAATCCGAGATGACAATGCCCTGCAAAGAGATTTAAAATCTTTATCATTTCTCTGCTTTGCTTTAGCCGGATTCTTCGATGATTAAAGTTACCCTGAACTTGAGCTTGTTCTTGAGGAAATCCGTGATAAGTTTCTTATTGGCATGCATTTTCAACCCGTTTATGGACGAGTAGGACACCATAACTGTCGCAACGCCCTTTTTTACCGCATCGTAATAAGCTGGCATGTGAATGCCCAGCAATCCATTTGTATTAATAACTGTGTTATTCGCGTTCATCCCTCTCAATGTACCTCCATCTCCAACAAAGTGTTTAGCACAGGCTGCAACTTTGGTCCTGTAAGTTTACCCAGTTATCTGTTTAACTCCATTGCTTCTCTAGATATTCAGTAAAGTGTACTTACTTTCCAGCGACGTAAGGAACACCCTTTTGACCGGTGGGAAGGTCACCTTGCAAACCAGGTATGATCTCAGTCATCTGTTGAACGATTTTGTGATCCTCACTGTAGCTCTCATAGCATCTTCCCCATCTAGGGTCCCTACACACCTGTTCAAAGTGATTAATTACAACAACTATGTTGCCGCGTTTGTTCAAATCAGATTTTACTTACTGCAATACATGGAGCAAAGACATATTGGATTCCTGTTGCTCTAACTTCAAGCGCAGTTGCTTCACCAATTCTCTTCACAAGGCCAGGATCCCTACAGATGAAGACAGCAGTAAAGAAACTATGTTTTGGGTTTATCTATTCATATGGAATGGGATTCTCTATAAGAACTTGCCTGGTGACTCCGAGGCCTATGTTATGTGGGAAAATGGTGGCGTTGTACACGGTGTTGTGACCATGAACAGCATCGATCCCGTAAATTATGGGAATACCTAAGCGGGTCGAAAGAGCTTTCTTTTGGATCTCATTCACCATGTTCACCCAAGCTTCAGGACTGGCATATGGCGTAGGCACACTCCCTCCCCCGCTAAATACACTCCCTAAAAACATAATTCCGAAACTCTTGAGTATTCAACTATTCATATAGGTTTTAACAACGTTATGAAGGTCCAGAATCATACCGATGAGGTATTTTTTCATGACTTCGGTTGTGGCATTGACGCGTTCAACCTGAACCATCTGCCCGATTTTCTCTTCAAGGGTCATATGGCTCATTAGGTTCTTGATCCTGACTCCCAATGGCTCTTTTGGGTCCTTATACTTGGCGTTCTCAAGTGGTTCTTTATTAGCTGCCACGGTACAGCAGAGCAGAAGAAGACCTAGTAACAAGTAACTCGAACTCCCCATCTTTGCCCTCTCCTTCACTCTCAATAACATAGTCAAGAGCTGATTATTGGTTAACCAGTTGAGAAGGGGAAGACGATCAAGCGATGAGTATGATGAATATTACAGTATTTCGAATGAGATAAGGAACATTATGAGGTTGAGATTTTGTCTATATGCCTTGTACTTGGGTTGTTTTGCTTGCGAGATTATGTAGAGTGACGTGTGATACCATTTCCGTGACTAGAAGAACATCAAAAACAAATTAGATTCTCTCTTCTTTTTTTCAAATAATATAATAAAATAAAATCTGAATAATAGTAAATTGATTCTATTTTGGCAAAATAACATACTAAATATATTAGCTTCTTGTAGTAACTAATTTTTTTTATATGAAAGTAATCATTTTTTTCTCTATTTTCCATATACATATAATTGCAAATTATTTGTTTCTTTTCTTTGTGAGATTTGTTTCTTTTTCTTCTTTATTTGTTTCATTGAAATATGTTTTTATTTGCTTGTCGCTTTGTTGAAATAGGTTGGACTTTACTTACACTTCAAAAAAATTTCATCTTTTTTTAGATGAATATTTTTCTTGCAAGTTTATGTTGAATTTTGATTTTGGACACTAAAATAAAATTTTATTGATTTTTTTCTTTCTTTTTGTGAACTTTGACATGGTCCCTTTGCAAAAATGCACACCTGCACATGTCTGGACACGCCCTGCATGTGGCATAGTCTCATCTTGGATTTAAGAGATACCAATATACATTACCCAAATGTTAGCTATCTCATCAAGTGGAACAAAACACAGATTCATAAGGGCAAATAACAAAAGGTGATTCATATTTTCGCTGTTTTACTGTTTTATAACACACTAGTTTTGTAGACAAACAATGTCAAGTCTCAACTTAAATTTGAGCTATAAAACCCACAAAATTGTGCATCTAAATTATTTCGTTGGGTCCCTTAATAGCTTCCTCTCCATTGCCGAATAATTAAAGGTGAGTCTACATTTTGTATGGTTTTGTGGTCAACCCGAAACCGAATGGGTACAACGGGTCGTAATGCAGATCGCCAACGTTCATCGGTAGCTGCTTCACCGACTTAAACCATGTTCGAGCCAACTTTCCAGTGAATCCGTAATCACCAAACAGAGCATCAGCCACTCCTTGACCTTCTGTTCCCGGAAGCCAAGCCGCGACGAGGGCGTCAATGGTCGAAACATAAGGCTGAATCACCACAGGACGGCCAGATACCACGACCACCACACACTTCACTGATCCGCACACGTTTCCTATTGTGCTTGGACCAGGAGCACTTATGGTCAGGTTCGTGGTGTCCCCAAACATTTCAGCATAAGGCGGCTCGCCAACAACCACAATGGCATAGTCAAATTTACCCGACTTCACAAAGTTTGCATCGGGGTTTTGGTTGTAGACGACTTGTGTGGTCGGAGCCACTGTATTTTTCACAGCTGCGAGGATTGTTGTACCTGTGTGCAATTACACCAAAGTCAAGATTATATATCTAAATTTTGTAACGCGATGTTCTGTATTAGCTCGCACACGATGGATGGCCAAACCTAGCTACTGCTGTGGTTGCAACCGAGACAAAAGAGGTTAAAGAGAACTTTATGAGTAAACATACCAACGGTGTGGTCGTTGCCGTTAAGGCCTTGCCAGGTGATGGTCCAGCCACCACATTGATATCCCAAGTTATCGGCGTGTGTTCCTGCGACAAGGATCTTCCCTGTTTTCTTGGGCAGAGGAAGCAGAGGTTTAGCACCTGTTTTACCATTCTTGAGCAGAACTAGAGACTTCCTCACGGCTTCACGAGCAAGTTCCCTGTGTTCCTGTTAAAGTATATTATTTAGTTTCATCTTGATGATTTTGTAATGATGTAATGGCTAAACAAAGGATAAACATAGCATACCTTACTACCAAGCTGATTGGCAAAGCTGAGGTCAGCCAGTGGTTCCTCAAATAGTCCCATTGTGAATTTGACCCTTAAGATTCTCTTCACGGCGTCATCAATCCTGCTTAACGGAATAAGCTTTTTCTGTATCTGACTGTTGATTTCGTCTATGAACTCGGTGTAGTTGTACGGAACCATAATCTGCAAATAAAGAGACGCACAACAATCAAGCAACCACATGGAGGACATACAAAAGATATGTAAGATAGAATCAGTTTTGAGACAAACCATGTCAATTCCAGCGCTGATTCCTGCGTAAACAGAGTATGAATAGTTAAGATGTGGAGGAGTTGTGATCCTATCAATCCCCTGCCAATCAGAGATGACAAAACCCTGCAGCGAAACAGAAAGAAGGGACTTAGGACCAAAGCACAGAAGCTCAAATGCATCCACATTGTACCATTTCTTACCCTGAACTTCAGCTTGTTCTTGAGGAAGCCCGTGACAAGTTCCTTGTTAGCATGCATTCTCAAACCGTTCCAGGCAGAGTAAGACACCATGATAGTTGCAACACCCTTGTTTACAGCATTGTAATATCCAGGCATGTGAATTCCAAACAGCCCCTTCGAGTCAATCACCGTGTTGTTCTCATCAATCCCTCTCACTGTACCTCCATCTCCAACAAAATGCTTAGCACAAGCTGCAACTTTTGTCCTGTAACAGTCACAAGCTCATTTCGGTAAGTAAATGGAATTTGTGTACGTATCATATACTAATGAATTAATTAACCTGTGATTGAAATGAATTTAGTCAAAACAATAGACTAATAGTTTCAATGAGACATAAGCTCATTTAATCTCCCCCACATGTAAAAGATATTAATATTTGGACAGGGACTGTTTAGATGAAGGAGATAAATTCACACTGGTCCTACAGTGGCAGAAAATTCAAACCACGACTCTTTAAGAACCTGTCCGAACCTACTATAGATAGATAAACTTAAAACGTATCACATGGGTTGGCCAATCACTGATTGCCAGGCAGACTTTGCACTAGTGAAAATTGACCACCACATTTTAAATGAAAGCATGCGTGAGCATGACTTGAGGATTTTCCTCACTTTGATCATCAAGCCTCACTCAACATACAAAAAGTTTTTAACTTGTCATAGTGATCATCTTAAAACATATAACAGAAGATTAATTACAGGCAAAATTACTTACTTTCCACCAACAAAGGGAACACCCTTTCGCTTGGTAGGAAGGTCACCTTGCAAACCGGGTATAATTTCAGTCATCTGCTTGACAATTCTATAATCTTCACTGTAGCTCTCGTAGCATCTTCCCCATCTTGGATCCCTACAAACCTGTCAAAGCATATCCACATTGCAGGAATATTAAACATACACGTTTCTTGATCAGTTTTCTGCAACGACTTCAAAATTGTTAGCTTCATTATACTTACTGCAATACACGGAGCAAAGGCATATGGGATTCCGGTTGCTCTGACTTCAAGCGCGGTTGCTGCCCCAATCCTCTTAAGAAGGTTAGGATCCCTAAGAGATTAGTCAAAAACACAAAAATAAAGTTGTTCAGTTTCATAGCCATATAAAACAGACCAATTCCAACAAGAACAAAGTCCTTTCAACTTTGTGACAAGCAGAGAGCTTAGGCCTTTTAGGACAAGTACTTGCCTGGTGACTCCAAGGCCTACATTGTGCGGGAAAATGGTGGCACCATACACATTGTTGTGACCGTGAACAGCATCAATCCCGTAGATCATAGGGATCCCAAGGCGGGTGGAAAGAGAAGCCTTTTGAATCTCATTGACCATGTTCACCCAAGTTTCAGGAGTAGCTTTTTCCGAGGGCACACTTCCTCCACCACTCAACACACTCCCTACACAAAAACCCAACAAAGTCCACTCATTTAAACAATATATCGAACACTTAACACACATAATTCCTCCAAGCTCATTTTCTTCTTACCAATGAAGTATTTCTTCATGACTTCAGGTGTAGCGACGCTGCGTTCGATCTGAACCATCTGACCAATCTTCTCTTGTAGAGTCATACGGTTCATCAAATCTCTGATTCTTGCACCCAAAGGCTGCTTTGGGTCCTTGTACTTCAAAGTACCCTCAGCAGCAGCCACGGCACAACACAGCAGCACAAGACATAGCACCTTACTCAGAGTCCCCATTTTTCTTCTTCCACAGTTCCACCACAACTGCAGATAATCAGATCTAAGCTATTATTAGTCAGAGGAACTGTTCCATTGTAGATCAAATAATATAGTGCAAGAAACAACTGGAGAAAACAAGAACAAGAATCTAAAAGTGAAACACTTGTCAGCAAATCTGAAAACTTTGGATTCAAGAAGCTACGTTTACAGGAAAAAGCTGAAAAATCAAACCTTTTTTTTTTTTTTTTTAAAGTTACTGACTGGTTTTGAAAAATCAGATCTTTATTAGCACACTTGTGCAGAAAAGAAGGACAGACCCAGACTAGTTGTTCAAATGGGAAAACAAAGAACATACACTGAAGAAACAGGCGAAGAGATTTTTGAAAGCAATAGGAATAAAAATTACAAGAGATTGGAGAAGACGAAGAAGCAAAGGATAAAGAAGCTTACAGTCTTGGGAATGGTATCTTCTTGAAACTGTAGAATCTCTCCTCTCTAGTAGACGAGAGAGTGGTGATGACAAAGAGAGAGAGAGAGAGATCTTGAGAAGTGTGCTGCTGCTTCTACGTGCTACTCTCTCTCTCTCGTGTTTTAATAACACTGAAAAGTTGCTCTTCTTTTTTCACACTCTTTTTCTCACTTTATTTTTTTTCAAGATTTTTTCTTTTGGGTCAAATTAATTCGAGATTTTAAACAAATTTTTTTTTATACAATGGGTTTAACAAATTTATTTTGTTTATTAGAAGTTTTTATCTTTTTCATTGTAATATGGAAAAAATAATTTGCTAATACCAAATATAATGGTTTTTCACATACAAAACGAATGTTGGTTTTTTTTTTGTTAATCATCAACTTCTGTCGGTTGTTATTATTGTTTGCTACAGTTCTGGGCTCCAACAATATGAAAATCCCTTTAGCAAAATTAATACTTTCACACATTAAACTTTTTTAAATATGAGAAAGCGTGAAAATTAATCTCAAGATAGACAGAATTAGTTTACCAAAAAAAAAAAAAAAGATTAGACAGAATTATTCACTCTCTCAAGTCACGAGTCTTAAATATCGGCACGAATAGTGTGGGGTACGTGCACTCAAGTCAAAGGTACATATCACTCAATTTCGTATTGACTACCATATGATGCCGATTTTGTCATGACATGATGACTTCATATCAACGTTTTTGAAAATGTTACAAGAATAGTAATAGTAATTAATAAATATATATCTCTTGTCTACAAGTTTTAAGCAATGAAA